CAACAGATGCACGGAAATTTTGTCAACAGCTGCATGAAAAAGTGCTGCCAAGCTTTGTCCAAACCAGTCCGTTAGGTTTTGAAGCCATGATGTTCTCCTGCTTGGACCTCGTTTGCCTTCAATTTTTCCCTGGATGAAAAGTATATCATATTTTTCTGGGTGTTGCATCACATGTCGAAAATACTCTTACTTTTGCTTTTTAATGGCTTTGATGATTTCTCTTTGCTTTCCCAGGTGGCTTATGTTGGTTTGAGGATATCTTATCTATAATCCTTTTTTTTTCAACCTGTTACTATCCAGATGTGTTGAGATCACTGTTTGTTTTAACATTTACCCTAAGCTGAGGTTTGTTTAACAATGGTTTGTTGAGTAAATCACAATTGGGTGGCTTCACACAACACATTAAGCCAAAGCCGTTCTGTCTTAATATGATACCTGAGCTCAGTTCCAGAATTCACAGCCTCTGTAAGGTGTTCTTCCAATTGATCTGGAAGAGATAAATGTTTTCAATATGGGTTAATATATTTTAAAAGTAACTCAGTACTAAATGTGGTGCTTTGTTTTAAGGTTTAATGTGCATATTTGTCTTTTGGGACCCAAATAGGACCCAAAAAACAAGGAAGAGAGAAAGACAATATGAGTATTTATCTAAAGATAAAACTTTATAAATTCATAGGGACTTTGAGAAAAAAATGTATATAACAATGAGTGACTCTCTGAAAAATCTGTCTTTCAACAAATGGACAATTTCCCACATAGCGCCATTGGATATTGGAGTAGTTATCGCAACCCATTATCTGAACATGCTGATGGCAGACGAATAATTAGTGACATTGACTGTTATCGTTTATGACTTAGAAAAATGGCTCCCGGAAGCCTCTTTCCAGTAGAAGTTATAGATACTTAACATTATTTATTCCAGCTGTAGGGCTCTCAAATTCTACAAGGGTAAATTGCAGGCATGTTGCTTACATGCCTTAAATGATGAAGAAGCAGTTTATATTAGATCAGTTGCCATGTAAACATGGTCATTGTATTGTCATGTGTATAAAGTCTTCAACTGAAGAGAAATAGATCACAACCTTTTGATTCTAAGTAACAGTGCTTGCGGCTGATTGGTTAACTTTGGTGGTTTTACGAGCTCTTCTTTTCTCCTTCCAGAGAAAGATTTGATATTTTAAAGCAAATATTGTAAATATTTAAAAGGAGATGCCCAACCGCTGTTTAAATATGAAGCCAAGGCACAATTAATTGTTTTAAAAGAGAGAGAGAGGACAGCAAGATATTCAGGAGATGGATAACTGTGTGCTGTGTATCTTTAAAAAGACAGAAAAACTGGACTCAGTCTTCAAGGATGAAATCTGCATACTGGAAGTTATTTCATGTAGAGCTTAATAGGATGCTTACAAATCCAAGCATAGTTTTAAAAGTAAAATAATATCTTGCTGAATGCAACTTAAGCAAAATGGAAATNAAAAAAAAGTCACCTCATTTGATCTGCCAGTTACGAGTATCTGCTATAAAATATTTGGTTCTGTTTCTGAAGTAACCATTGTAAAACATTTACATTGCATTTAATTTAAAACTTAACCTATATTTTTTTCCTTGATTTTTTTTTCAAAGTAAAATCATTTTCACCAGCAATATTTTTGGGGTAGTGCTTTCTACTGTCTTCAGCACTACAGTGTTTGTGAAGAAATCAGTTTAATGATGACATAAAGCTAGTTGCTATTCAGCATTTTTTCCTCCTGGAAGATTCAAGTAGAGGCAACTTCTAATCAGACAAGAATTTTATTGCTTTCTTTTGTAAAGAAAGTTGTCAGTTTTTTAAAGTTCAGCCCAATGATGCAGAGCATGCTTTCTCAGCAACATAAAGGTGAACAACATCTTACTGTTGTTTTAGGAATCTTAGTAATGCCTTTGTATAAATTGTATATAGAACAAATCCTTTTTTTTTTTCCCGTCAACAACAGCAAGACAGAGTTGTTTTCTTAAAGAACCCAATTTCTTACTGTAAAAGGAAACAATTGAATTTCTGGGTGTGAAAATGATTTTAACAAAATGCAAACTTTAGTAATATTTTTTAATTATTATTATTTTTTATTTTTATGGGGATTTTTTGCCAACCATGTTCTGATTTTTCTTCCCTAAAGATAAATAGGAACTTGGAAGGCTTTGTAAGAATACTGAAAATCTACAAATAGAGAGCTTGATTACTGCTCTATGATTAAGAACTGATTAAGAATTGGACCTGATCAAGAATTAAAAGGGAACTAAATTTCCAGCTTACAAACTGCTTGTACACATATTACAGTATGTAAAATTGTATTATTTTCTGACTTAATGTTATAGACCAAAAGAGCGAAATTTGTTGTCTAGCTGTAGTATAAAGACAACAAAAACAGAAAATCAAGGAGTTTGTACTTAGAAAATAACATATTTTTGTTGTACAGATTTCTTCCATGATTTCTAGACGCAGATAACTTTATTAATGACATAACAATTGACAGAAATAAACTACATTCTAAGTAGTGCACTTTATTTACCTTTCAATTGCTGCTAGCAAGCCTGTATTCAGAAAATAAATAGTTTCTTATGAAATTGAAGGTCAATGTATCTACATCTAAAATAAGGTAAGACACTTGATACCATACACATAAAAGCAATTTCTAGTTCTGCAGCTCTCACAGAGAAAGATGATAGATTTTCAGGAAAGGAGAGGATTTTGAAGCAGAAAGTCTTTCGTCCCAACCTTAGAAACCACACTGTTCCTTTCCTGGATGATTCTCATGATGGCTTGTTATCAAGACCCTTGCATTTTAATCCTCTTTTTTGCAGAATGTAGTTGTGATTTTATCCTAAGTCTTGTCACAGAAAACATTGTGCTATATGTCCAAGACATGACAGAGTATTCTGTGTATATGTACGGTAAAGATTAAAAATTACTCTACCCCTAAACTTGATTTTTGATGATTTAAGGAACACATATTGTTTTCTGGGAACAATACCAAAGTAGCTTGCCTTCTGGGTTGTTGGTCAACTATTCCAGGATTTCATGGTGGTCTCCCAAACAAGTACTAATCAATTCTGTATGGAAGTAGCTCATATATGTAGAATTCAAAAACTATCAACCAAATCACCACCATATTCAGAAGAGTCTCGCTTAACAGAGACAGTTTTCTCAAATTGATAGTTAATCCAAACTTTGCTACAGTAGGATTTCCTGGTTGCTGGGCTATTACATGGAAACATTGCATGGGATAACTTGACTAGGTAAGACCTGTGATAGAATAGCCCTTGATTACATTCAACACTTGTTTTTGAAGCATAACAATGAATTATGAAGGATATTCTGAATATTNCTTCGATATCCATCATCATAAGGCCTGGCCAACTCAGACCTTATGACTCTAGGAGGCATACAATATAACACACACACTTCGATATCCATCATCAAACAACAAATTTGGGTTTATAGACAAAGATTTTCCATTTTAGCATTTGCATTTATGCATATAAATACAAATAATAAAACAGAAAATGTCAACTAAAATAGCACGACAAAGGACAAAGTCTCAAAGGATTCCCACTCAACAATCCCTAATGTTTGGGAGAAATTTTTCATGTACTTCTAGTTTTTATTCAGTTATTTCCCTTATTTACTTCTCTCGACAGCAGGTGGCAGCACTATGCGACTACTGTTTTTGAAAAGACTTAAGCCGATTGGAGGTGAGTAACATTTGGATGGGAGACCACTAGAAAATTCCATGGTTGTAAGACAGAGAGATTAAGAAAGAAAAAAAATCTGGTAAACCTTTTTGGGACTGTCATGAGGAAAACAATACGGACATCTCCATATTATTACCAGCTGAGGTTGATTAAAGGGAGACTTTTTATTTATTTATTTCCATCCATTCATTCCTTTCACCATGAGTGAATAAAGGACTTCTAATACAATAACAAGCAAACCTAACTCAAAAACTGCTTCTGACTGAAGATTAGTGAACTTCCTGTCCGATAATTTTTTAAAGGGAAAAAAAATATCAAAATTCAAAGGCTTCAATAGACTTTCTATCTTGCTTCTTCAAAGTCCAATTTTTACTTTGATTGTGTATCACAAGTAACACCATTGCCTGCACAAATCTGATCTTTGTAGATAGGGACACTTCAGGGCATTTGAATATTTTTTTTTCCAAGGCTGCCTAATTGCTTGATGCTGGTATGTGGCAATGTTCTTCCCTACTTGTTCCTTTACTGCTGATAGCTGATCCTAAAAGGCTATCCACCACGCTGATATCTTCATTGCCAATTCTTAGGCCGGTTGCCACACCTGTTGTGATGATTTTAGACTTCTTTATATTTAATCTTAGTCTCATGTTTTTACTGTGCTCCTTGATTTTCATTACTAGAGCTTGCAGATCATTTGCATTTTCAGCTATCAGCAGTTTACATTACCATTACCCAATTAAGAGTAAATCAGAATGTTACATGCCAAAGGAGGATCTTCATAAAGCGTCAAGGAAATGTGAGATGAAAATGTCTATACAAGTTTTGCAATTTGCGAAGGTAAGATCATTAGCTGAAATATGATATCACGTGCATGTCTATATTTCAGGCTATTGTTAGACAATCGCCCAGGAGCAAGCATCTTCTACCAAATATGCATAGNAGGCCACGCCCACAGAGTAGGTTCGAACAATTTTTGAAACCCACCCCTGCTGCCATTGTAACCTTGGTCACTAAACAAATGGTTGTCCCAAAGGTGCTTTTTCAAGCAGCAACTGGACTTTCTCGTTTTTCTTCAAAGACGTTTCACTCAGAGCTGAAGAAGCTTCTTGAATGAGCAGCGAAACCTCTTCAAGGAAAACCAGAAAGTCCAGTGGCCTCTTGAAAAAAAAAGCACCTTTGGGACAGCTCTGACCTGGATGATGGAGAATCTCCATAGACATTTTAAAAATGGTTGTAAATCAAGGACTATCTATATTGTTTAATTTCAAATGCAGTAATTTCACACGTTGCGAATGTGTGCATGATATATGGAGAGAGGGAGGGAAGGAAGGAGAGGGAGAAAGAGCCACATACTTTTGTAATAAGCATATGTAATGTGTTATGGGTAAAAACATGTATTAAAACCTGAGAACCCACAAAATGTGGGAAAGAAGGAAAGAATGGATCTGTTTATAGGACAAACTTTGAATTGGAAGACAAACAAATCACGACTCTCCTATCTAAATGGGCTAGGAGAGATTCCTTGTTTGCTGACTTAGCAGATTTCTTTCAAGGTAGCTTTTTTTTTTTAATCACCTGCCTATTAAACAGCGATCGGGATTACATTAAATCAGAACATAAGGAATCCAGCATTGAAATCAGGACGTTCATTCTGTCATCCAGAGCATATAAGGGTGAGAAAAAAAATAAGTTACCCTTTCGTTTGATTGTGATGTTCAACTTTCCAACAGAGAGAAGATGGAGAATCAGTTGGAAAAAGAAGCAAGGTTTCGACAGCTGATGGCTCACAGTTCCCACGATTCCGCTATTGACACAGATTCAATGGAGTGGGAAACAGAAGTAGTAGAGTTTGAGAAAGACAGGGTAAGTTGAAATCCACGGTGTGAGAAGAGACTTCTATCCATTGGAAAGTTGCAGGTAATAAGGCATAGGAGTGAGCTTACAGGCTTCACTGAACCATTTTTTTTAAACTAACATAATTGCAAAATGTACCAGAGATATTTCTAATGGGCTGACTTGTGTGCTGCGTTTTCTGCAAAGTATGTACTTGTACGGATAGATTTAGAGCAGGAAGAACGAGATGGTGGGAAATGAGGAATTGAAAGTAATGAATGGCTGAGAGCTTCAAATGGACACAGGTGTTTGCAGAGAGGGACGGCCAGTAAGTATGTAAGAAAGGAAGTGAAACTATGGAATGTGTATGTCAGTAAAAAAAGAAAATATAAGAAATGTGACTTGAGATGAGAATGGTGCCCTTTGCCCAATAGCAGTCCTGGTAGGACTTGCTATCTGTCATTGGTTCCCATTGCAATGGCTTAATAATGTAAGTTTTGTTGTGGAATTGCATTGCTATGTTGGCTATTCAAGTTCCAAATTGCTCATCAAATAAATCTCTGATCTTAAAGTAAGATTTATTGCTTGTGGTTTGTCTGTGTTCTTTTTTATTGGGATATTTTATTTTTACCTATTGGCCATAGGTTGGCAATAGAGCTGTGCTCCTTGGAAGTTTCCAGCAAACAGAGCTAGGATGGAAAGTAACATCTGACTTCTGCTCACATGTCTTTAGTATAAAACCACTACAGGTGATGTGTGTTGCGTTCGTATCTTTTAGGAGGACATGGATTTGAAGGCTCTTGGTTTTGATGTGGCCGAAGGAGTGAATGAACCTTACCTTCCTGGAGACTGTGGAATTTTTGTTACCAAAGTCGATAAAGGAAGTATTGCGGATGGACGATTAAGGTATACTGTGGGTAGTTAGTCCAAACCCTTGAGTTGAATTGAGTACTTTTATTTGAATGGAATATTTTTATGTTGATCAAGTGTGATTAGACCCACAAAGAATTTGTCTCCGGTGCAGAAGCTCTCAATGTACTTGCAAAGCAAGAGAATAATGATAAATCATAATAATCGCTAGTCATTATAACTTGTCATTATCGATAAGTGAATCTCTTTATAAACATATATATGTGTATATATATATATTGGGGGGGGGTGTTCCAGCATAACTCTGGAACACCTCAAGCAATTTCAACCAAACTTGGTACACAGATGACTTACTCTCTTGAAAAAAAACACCCCTAACGTTCCTCAGTGGGGGGGTATTCTGTTAAGATACAGCCTGTTTTGCTTTAAAAGGACTTCTACTGTACTGCTGTAAAATGGCTTCTACTGTACAGCACAGTGGAGTTGCTGTGGTAATGGATTCGTAGTACTCCACAAGGGGCCTCTCTCTGGTAAGGTGGAAAATCCAACATTAGAAATTACGTTTGGTTTGGACATTTTCCCCCTATAAATAAAAACCCAAGCAACACCAGGTTATCTGCTAGTATATAAATAAATTCATGAAGAACCACAAGGGTAGTTGGCGGTTACATTTGCCAGGAACACATAAATATGAAGCCTACTTATCTGTCGATGCCCAAAAGAAATGGAATAGCTAAAATGTTGGTTGCATCTTGATTTCCAAAGATAGCAAAATGAATGGATAAATTTTAAGATGTGCCAACGTTGGAAGATGATGATGGGTGGTCTATTGAATCTTGCAAGGGAGAAATTATTTGTTGAAAGAGAATGTCTATATATCATGGCATGATTCGGCTCATTTTGTGGTAGGGACATGAAATTCGGGGTTATTTGGAGAAATCCCAGGGTGCAGTTATAAATGAAGGGCTTAAGAAGCTGATATTCTAAAATGAGAAGGTCAAGAATGAACGAGCCCACAACGATTGTGGATTCTGAACAAAGTTGTGTGACCTTTAACAAAAGTACTGTATTTTTCAGAGTATAAGACGCTCCGAAGTATAAGACGCACCTAGCTTTTCGGGAGGAAAACAAGAAAAAAAATCTGCCTCTGCTTCCAGCAATTTGCTTCCTTGCAGCAACAGACAGTTTCAGTTTCAGTTTAGCCTGATTAGCACAAGGAAACAAAAAATCTGCCTCTGCTTGCCAGCAATTTGCTTCCTTGCAGCAAATAGCATGTTTCAGTTTCGGGGCGCGCAGAGGCGGCAATAGGGAATGGCAATCCATGCAGCCTGAAACAGCTAATCGTCAGGAGGCCGATCCAACCAACAATCAGCTGATCGTGCTAATCAAGCTGTGCTGAAGCTGAAACTGAAATAGGCTGTTTGCTGCAAGGAACCAAATTGATGGGAGGCAGAGGCCAAAGGGTGGGGGCCGGCAGGTAGGCAGGACTACATTCAGTGTATAAGATGCACCCAAATTTTCACCCTCGTTTGGGGAGAGGGGAGTGTGTCTCATATACTCCGAAAAATACAGTATGTTTGGTCATGTCAAAGGTCATGTGTTTTTCTCTAATTAATCCAGGGTGAACGATTGGCTCCTGAAGATAAATGACGTAGATCTCACCAACAAAGACAAAAAGCAAGTGATCAAAGCAGTCCTTAATGGCGGAGGAATTATCAATATGCTGGTTCGCCGAAGAAAGTCCTTAGGAGGGAAGGTGGTCACTCCGCTGCACATCAACCTTTCAGGCCATAAAGGTGAGGCCCTCGTGCTGCTTTGGACTCTGTGGTTATTTATAGATGTTGCCAGCTAACAAATATTCAGAGATCCAGTCAATATTTCCACTGCATTCTTCATGGATTTGCTACCAAAGTGAATAAGTACGTTGGTATGGTTTCCTGGTTTGAGATTGAAATGTCTGTTAATGGAAGATGTTTTCTACTGTGTTTAAGTGACCTAAAACATCAGAATTTCATTTTTGCAACAGCTGTGGTTGTATTGCAATGTACAGTAGCTCTTAGGATACCGACTTTCCTAAATTCGAAGGACCCTCTAATTCTTCCAATTCCAATTCTTCAGTTGGATCAGTTTGATTCATGGATTTCAATGTATATAGCAGAGGTGGTGTTCAGCAGGTTCTGACCAGTTCTGGAGAACTGGTAGCAGAAATTTTGAGTAGTTCGGAGAACCAGTAAATGCCAACTCTTGATTGGCCCCGCCCCCATCTATTCTCTGCCTCCTGAGTCCCAGCTGATCGGGATGCAATGGGGATTTTGCAGTATCCTTCCCCTGCCATGCCTATCAAGCCACGTCCAACAAACCACGCCCACAGACCCGGTAGTAAAAAAATTTGAATCCCACCACTGGTATACAGTGCTTTTCTTGGCAGTAATAAGGTATCATTCTGGATGATTTAAAAAGACCTTCTCAATTTAGCTTGATCCCTGACATTTGGAGTTTTAACATTCAAATCCTGACCAAACCAGGCTTTGCTTAGTTTCTAAAGTCATCCAGTTGCTGCCAGATGTTGAGAACTCAAAACAAAATTGTGTGTTTTCAAGAGTTACCATTGTAGACTTACATCAAAGATTTCACCTACAGGTAAGGTAGAAACAAGGTAGATCAGCTGCTCAAATGATAGATGCATACCAAGGGGACTGTACTGGTTAAATTAGAAGAGAAATAACCAGTTCATTTCTGTAAAGAGCCAAGGTGGTGCAGTGGTTAAAATGCAGTACTGCAGGCTAACTCACTGCTCACTGTTAGCAGTTCGATTCTGATTGGCTCAAGGTTGACTCAGCCTTCCATCCTTCCTTCTGAGGACCCAGATTATTGGGGGTAAGATGCTAACTCTGTAAACCACTTGCCGAGTACTGTAAAAGAACTATGAAGTGGTATATAAGTCTAAGTACTATTTCTACTGACTCAGCCTTCCATCCTTCCGAAGTGGGTAAAATGAGGACCCAGATTGTTGGGGCAATAGGCTGACTCTGTAAACTGCTTAGAGCTGTAATAGCACTGTGAAGTGGTATATAAGTCTAAGTGCTATTGCTATAAAGAAAACATATTAAACCTTCAGAATTCTGAAAATGTATGCTGAATGCTGAATAGCAGGGGTGAAATCCAGCAGATTCTGACAGCTTCTGAGAACCGGTAGTGCAAATTTTGAGTAGTTTGGAGAACCTGCAAATGCCACCTCTGGCTGGCCCCAGAGTGGGGTGGGAATGGAGATTTTGCAGTATCCTTCCCTTGCCACGCCCACCAAGCCATGCCCACTGAACTGGTAGTAAAAAAAATTGAACTTCACCACTGGTGAACAGATTTGGGTGACTAAGGCTGGTTCGACCAGTCCAGGCTTCGTTTTGCAAGGAAGCAGGCATGGAACACACACTCAAACCCTCAAACATGGCTATAAGCAAAGACTGATTGTGCATGTCAGTAAGCTTTGTGTGAGAGAATTGCTAATAAATTCACCTTGGCTGCTCCATTTCAGAGAGTGGAATTGGTCTGGAAAATGGAATTTTTGTCGCCACCCTAACGAGTGGCAGTCCAGCTGCCAAGGATGGATCCCTCACTGTGGGAGATAGGATCATTGCTGTAAGTTACTTTTCAATCTTTTCAGGACAGAAATTCAAATCGAGCAAGAGTTGAAGCCTATTAGCCTATTAAGCAGAAATCATTTCTTCTAAAGTCACATGCTAACTATCTAGCGGTTGGTAAGCAAACAAACAAACATACTGGTTGTAAAGTACTTGATAAATGTCATTAAGTGACCTGATGGCTACAAGCACGGTTTTGCCGAAAACTGGAAATAGCTGCCAGTTTTGGGGGAAAACGGTCATAAAACATGGTAACTGGATGTTGCATACAGCTACAAATGTGGCCGGGTTTGCAGGCACCCAAAGTGGAGTCACATGACCATGGAAGGGGCCTAACCATCAGAACTTCTGATCTGAGTGATAAGCCCTATTTTTCGGGTCAGTCGTCATTTTTAACAATTGCTAAATGACTGTTTGTGTCAAGGGTTATCTGTACAAAAACTGCAGCACTAAATAGGTTTAGCAGAAAAAGGGAGAGGAGTAGGAATAGAATAGAATAGAATAGAATAGAATAGCAGAGTTGGAAGGGACCTTGGAGGTCTTCTAGTCCAATCCCCTGCCTAGACAGGAAATCCTACACCATTTCAGACAAATGGATGTCCAACATCTTCTTAAAAACTTCCAGTGTTGGAGCATTCACAACTTCTGGAGGCAGATTGTTCCACTGATTAATTGTTCTAACGAGGAGAAGAACATCCTGGCCCTTTCCATATACATGGAAGTCATGGTCTGAACCTATTTGCAGGTCTCCTTGCCCATTTTGTTCCTCGTCTTCCAAAATGTGTTGTGTGTAGGGGAAAGGAGTGGCAGAACTTGGAGGCGGAGTTAAAAGAGGAATCAGCCTAGAACTGTGATGGCGAACCTATGCCACGCATGCCAGAAGTGGCATGCAGAGCCAGTTCTCTAGGCAGGCGAGCCGTCACCCGTTGCTCTTCCAGGTTCTGGCATGTCGGCCAGCTGGTCTTCACACATGCGGGAGTGCCAGAAACTGGGAGAGCAGTTGCCAGTGTGCATGCACACACCAGAAAGATGACCTTCCAGTTTCTGGTGCATGCATGCGCATCAGCCACCTAGTCTTTGTGCATGCATGCCAAAAACTGGAAAACCAGGTGACAGGTGTGCATACGCGTGCCAGAAACTGGAAGATCATCTTCCCACACACGCATGCACACTGGGCGGCTGCTCTTCCAGTTTCACACACAGACCTTCCCATTTTGGCACTAGGTGCCGAAAGGTTCACTAACACTGGTCTAGAATCCCTACGTAGCCACAATGTGAATTCCATTGACTCTTAACTAACTCCAAGCGAGTGTTAATAGTTGAGAAGGTTCCTGTGTATAATGCATTAAGCAATAAATCAGTTTTACGTGTACCTTCCTGTGTGGATCTGGTCTTTCATGCCCGACATTTTGGCTCAGAAAATTGTTCTCGCTTGCCTTACTATTCTAATACTGAAATTTGATGCAAACCACTGTTGATGTTGTGTTTATGGTTCCCGAGGTTGCCCAAAGCAGAATTACCTATCCAAGCGGTAATAAAGGAATAGGCAAAAAAATCTTCTGGGTGTGGAAAGTGAACCTGGAAGACCAATATTGAATACAGTGAATAGCCTAGTGTTTGCTTGACAATTGCATGCTTGATACTCTTCCTTTTCCTGCAGATAAACGGCATTGCACTAGATAATAAATCACTGACCGAATGTGAAGCTCTTCTGCGGAACTGCAGGGAGTCCCTTACGCTTTCGTTGATGAAGGTGAGCGAGGAATAAATAGTGCATAGTTTTTTGTCGGTGAATAATATTTATTTAATAGGAGAGCGTTCCAATCATTGTACCAACCACCTTTGTAATGGTCTTCTTCTTACATTCCACCGTACACCATCCCCATTTCTTCCTCGGAACATGATAATGACATACCAGAAGATTGATTGAAGAATGAAGATTGAGAAAAATGATTCCTACTGTTCTTCGCAGAAGCAAGAAACAGATTCCCTGCAAAGAAAACCCCCTCTTGATTTACACATTGGGAATTAACTGCATTCATCAACAGAAACCCTCCTACAACCATCTGCCAGCAAAAATAGATGCTGGGCGAGCCCAGGCTCCATTTTCCCTGGCAGAGGCACCGTGGGCCAGTCCTTCGCTGGGCCAGATCTAAGCACTCTACGGGCCGGATCTGAGCCCTGGGCCTTGAGTTTGACACCCTTACTCTAAAGCCATCAAAATTTTGGCCGTTCTTTGATCTTAGAGTAGTGAATTCCACTTCTCTGTACTTATTTTAAATGGATATACTCTCTGGGATTTTACAAGTTTTAGTCCAACACTCCTAGAAGGCAGTGATGGCTAACCTTTTTGTTGTTGGGCAAAAAAGTGAGGACGCGTGCACAATAGCGCATTGGTGGGCCGGCACCCATAATGCAAAGTGCCCCCCCCATACACACACATGCACATGCATGCACACACACATACACACACCTGCACCACACTACTCATCTCCAAGCTGAGCTTGGTATTTCCTCCAGGGGGCCGGAGGAGGCAGCTTTCACCCTCCCCAGGCTCCAGGAAAGTTCGGAAATGATCCATTTCTGGCTTCCAGGGAAGGCTGTTTTCATTTCCAAACTTGCAGTTGGCCCATTGGGCCTGTTTTTCACCCTCCCCGGGCTCCTGAGGCTTTCCTAAAGCCTGGGGAGGGCAAAAACGGCTTCCCTCGGCCCTCCGAAAGGCCAAAAATCAGCTGGCCAGCACGCACATGTGCGCTGGAGCTGCTGGCTCATGTGCTGACAGATATGGCTCTTTGTGCTACCTGTGGCATGCATGCCAAAGGTTTGCCTTCATGGGCTTAGGGTAAGGAAACTCTGTTAGTGGGGTTTTTCCCCATCCCATAATTAATAAAAAATAATACAAATGACAGAATAAATTCCAAAAATCAATGTATTTTATATGATTGTTAGAATTCAGCTTTTCTTGCAACAATATAAAGGTACAAAATATTAATGTATTTTAGTGCAGCATACCCACAGCTTGGTAGATCAATATGTAAGTTTGGTACCGCTTTATCACACAACCATGTCTATAAATTATGTAGCAGTGCCTTGCTAATTTCCTGCTGACGGTGTTCCATCCCATGATTTAACTTTGTATTAGTTTAACAAAATGTAAAATACAAAGAAAAAAATCCTGGAAAAGTAAGAAGAAAGGGAGGGAAAAAGAAGGGACAGAGTGTAATGAAAGAAAAAAAAAGAAAAAGGCATTGACTTCTGACTTTCTTTAGCACAGTAGAAGGTAACAACATTACAACCACAACTTTTGCCTTTACACAACAGTACATGCAAGCCATTTCTATAACAATGAGCCTGTCTAGTTTACAAAAAACAGAATCAAAGTTTCATTCCCCGCCGCCCTTGCAAACACAAAATCTGGAAGCAATTTCAAAATAAAGACAAAATCAAATATAATGTCTTATTTGGATAAAAGAGTCGGTTTAACCATCTCTGCTTCTCTTTGCTGTGGGGGATAATATATCATTCATTCTCATATTTTCAAATCTAGTCCAAAATATTTTACAAACTGTAGAATATTATTCAGCATTACTTAAAGAACCAGCAGATATGCATATACAGTAGTGGCCAAAATTGTGGAAACCTTTTAGGAAAAGTGTATTTTTGAGGTTTGTTGTCTAATAACACCACCTTTTTTTTGAGTTTCAAGATAATCATATTCCACTGCTGGAATGGCCTGGAAATAGCCCAGACCTTAACCCAATTGAAAATCTATGGAGCCGACTAAAGAAACTTGTTAGTCAGAAGCAAGCCAGCAATGAAACCCAGTTAATAGAAGCAATCATTCAATCTTGTTTCACATTATCACAGCTGCAGAACTAAGAGACTTGGTTCACTCCATGGGAAGACTTTGTAAGGCCATAATTCATGCTAAAGGTTACCCAACTAAGAATTAACTTGACATGGTGATAATTTTTGTATATCTCATGCACAGTACTGCACTCTAACCACTGCTGTGGTGATGCAGTGGTTAGAATGCAGTACTGCAGGCTACTTCTGCTGATCACTGGCTGCCAGCTGTTTGGCAGATCGAATCGTACCAGTCTCAAGGTTGACTCGGCCTTCCACCTTCCTAGTTGGGTAAAATGAGGAGCCAGATTGTTGGGGGCAAGTAAACTGCTTACAGAGGTCTGTAAAGCATTGTGAAGCGGTATATAAGTCTAATTGCTATTTCTATTTCTATGGTGATAATTCTTGTATATCTCATTTCACTTTTCTTTTTTATAACTGCTATTCTAATAGCAAATCCTTCATAAAAGTTATTGCATTACATTCTTGATTAAATTATCTTTCCATTGATATATAATGTTATGATACTACTCCCCAAAAAAATAATAAGTGGTGTTATTAGCTAGTTTTAGAAAATACACTTTTCCCAAAAATTTTGGGAATTTTGGCCACTACTGATGTTGTACTCATTCATAC